TCGGCCGCAACAGAATAGGCTGCCTCGCTCCGCAACACAAGAGCAAACCGAAATCAAGACATCGGGCCCTAGAAAAAAGCCAAGACGGCGCCCGAGTTGTCGCCAACTTAGATGGCGCTTGCTGAGAGCCTTCGCGGGGGTCCAGGTTGAGCTCCTCAGGGCTCTGATGGAGGTTGGCGTCCATGAAGGCCAAACAGTTGCTGGCGCCCCCGCAGACATCATGTGGCAGCTGATCCTGGGGCCTCGCAAAGACGCAGCCGATGCAACTCCACGCCCCCGCCTCTCACGCACCCCTGCGGGCGAGGCGACGGATTCCGGGAGGTTCGTCGTTGCCCCGGCAATTCCCGCGAGAGAGGCGTCGCTGGCGACCGGCGCGGGGCCCCGCGGCAACCGCAAATTGCGGGGCAGAGTGCGGGGCCGCGACCGGCGCTGAACGACCTCTGTCGCCGCCGAGGGCCATTGGCGTCGTCTCTCGACATGGCGCGCTCTGCTCAAATCGCGCGACGGTCTGAGGGTGCAAGCCGCTCTGTCCGAATCATGATGTAGTAGATCGCGTGTCTGACGAAGCGTTCGAATTCGCGGCATGCTGCCCTCGGCCTACGCTCAGGCCGCAGGCCTGTCTGCGCCCCTCGGTGTGCGCAGAGCACGAGGAGATTATTCCCTGCGCGCCGTCAGCGAGACGGCCCGAGCTGAAGAAAATGTGCGAGCCCCCTGCGACCTCGTGAAAATCGACGCCGAGTGCGGTCCAGATGGAAATTCTGTCGTCGAACATGCTGTCGCAGCGCCGCGGGTCATCCCCGACCACGTCGGTGTTATAGCACGGGGGGAACAGGCATGGCAGGTCCCCGCCCAGTGGTGGAACTGGACCGCGGTCCGCGAGCAGGGGCTCGGGGCCAAACGAGGCAGCCGGCAGACATCGGTAGAGTTGCAGCGCTGGGGGCAGCCCGCAGTCATCGGCAGTCGTTACAGCGCTGGCCCAGCCAGAAGGTCCAGTTCCACCCCGCCAGAACCGCGGAGAGAAATGGCCAAACCCAACCTCCGCGCCCCACCAGAGGCAAACCCGCCACCCGACGCCCCGACTTTGACAACATCTCCACGGTGCGCATTGGGAGCGAGAAGAATAATGCAGCGAGCTCCCGGCGCAGGCCCAGCGCGTAGAAGTAATTGCGGATGTCGGCCTGGGCGCAGTACAGGGTCTCCTTTGACCTGCCGTCGTCGCCGAAATCGCGGCCTAGACCCGCGCCCCCGCGCGCCGATGAAGTACCCGTGCCCTGCGGCGGCGCGCGCTTGAGGCGCCCGTCGGGAATGCGAGCCCGCGCGCCATGCGCTGCGGGCCGTTCTGCTTCGAGGCGAAGAGCGGCGCCACCGTGCCCCTCGGGCTGCGCGTAAAGGGGCCATGTCCGCGTCCGCCAAATCGCTCGCGCAAGACTTTCTAGCGTCCTCGTGCTTCTGCTGCTCGTCCGCATACGGGGTGATGGGGGGCCCTGTCGTGGCGATCTGGCCCCTCTCATCGGCATATCGCGAGATGCCTCACTCGTAGTGCATCACATGCTCCCGCCCGGCTGGGTCGATCATGGCTTCGGCTCGAGGCGCGGCCGCTCCCGCTCTGGGTCTGGCAGACAGCGCAAACGGTCTCTGTGCCTCGTCGCCTGCGCGCGCGAGGTCGGCGACCAAAAGCTCGCGAGCGGCTGCGCGGCTGGCGCGCGCGGCGCCACCGTCGGGGCCGGCCTTCGCATGGAAAAAAACGGCCCGATGGGCCCCCTCTGGACCGCGTCGGCAAGGGCGCGGCGCGGCTGCGGAGGCCGAAGAGACCCGAGGCCGAGGATGACCTTGTTGCGCTCCACCAAGAGACGGCGGCGTCGAGCCACGCAGCGGCGCGCGCGCGCTCCGAAGCCCCTTGCCTCGTGGGCGCGCCCGCCGGCAATGTCGGCAGCGGGAAATCATTGCGCGGGCGATCGGATTGAGCGCGCAAAAACTGCGGCGGGGCTTCTCCGCCCTGGGGCCTGCTGTCGGCCAAAGGTCGGCCCGACCCTCGGGGCTGAGGACGTCATCCGGCACCGCCCCAAGCTTTGCCTGAAGGGGCACTTGCCTGACTTCCTCAGCTCGGCCTCCTCGCAGAGCACGAATTTTCTGGATCGCGAACTCATCCTTGAGAGCGTCCGCGACGCACGTCCGTAACGCCGGGACCGACGAGGCTCCGTCCATGGACGTGCCGGCGGCCGAATAGTGACGAGCCCCAGTGCTCCTCCTCGATGAGCTGTAGCGCCTGGCCAGCAACTTTGCCGGCTGCAGCGCCCTCGTGTCGAGCCCGTCCACAATCAGCATCGCTTCGAGGGGGCGGCGTATCGTCTGGTGCTGGGGCACAAGCGGTCATTGCGTGGGATCCTCGCGCCGCGCGCCCAGCCACGGTGGTGATTGATGGCCGTCAGCCCCGCGCAGCGCCACGCGCTCAACTTTCGAGGTCATGCCGGACCTGGTGACCCACGACATCTGAGAAGGGCCTCCTCCGTACGCCCTCGGAGTTATACTTCGCGCGCGTGGCCCTCAAATCACTGGCCGCGCGGCTCTCGAGGCCGCGGCGGGCCGCCGGGCGGGCCAGGACGTGGCCCGCAAGCAGGGGCACCGCCGCGCAGGTCTCCCGTGATCTGGGAGCCGTCGGGCAGCGGGTTCGAGAGCTCCTGCCCCCTGGCGTAGCCGTGGTGGTCCTCGGAGGCCACCCGGACCTAGTCAGGGAGCACGGGGGGCATGGCTGCGCCAGCGCGCCCGACCACTCGAACGACTCCAGCTCCACGCCGAGGCGGAGCACCCGCAGCAGCCCCAGCGTGAAAGCAGCCACAAGCTTAAAACTCAAAGCTTTCGGGGTGGAGGTCGGGGAAGAGAGGCTAAGCTTGAACCACCGCTAATGCGGAGAGGACGACTGGGGGTCGAGCGGCTGTTGCCCGGCGAAGCGCGGCTCACGCACAAACAAGACCATTACAACTCCCGTCTCTCCATCAGCCAGATATCCAGGATGTTTAAACTGCCAAGCCGCTGCGAGCACAACGCAGAACGGATCGCTCGAAGTCTGCCGCTGTCTTCGAGAAGCACCTGCACGACCTGCTGACTTGCAGAGCAGCAAGCGAGCCAGGAACCGAATAGCCATTGCATGTAAAAACCAACCTAGTCACCAATACATGTGGCCCAAGAACGGACATGGGCCCGAGCAATAGCGCTCAAACGTTGTGGGCAGCAAGGTTCGGAAATTGCCAGATGAGGTCTTCATCCTGGAGCTGCTGATGAATCCAATTGGCACGACTACAAGCACAACGCTTGCTACAAATACAGTTTGCGGTCTCGAGCTCGCCACGTCAAGATTCAAGGACCGGAACGAGGTACTCTTCTTCCAGTGCACCCCCTACAGGCAAACATCAATCGTGATAACACTGACGCCACGAGCGCGGGACGAACGATGCATGGCAAGGCAAAACCACAAGTGGCTACGAGCCGGGATTGCGAGAGAGCACGGTACTTGCGCTTGCGCGCATACACCAATGAGCGGGGCGGAAAACAAGATCAGGATGCTACCAATCTCCACTTTTCCCTGGTCAGCCTGAGACGGACCACCAAGGCCCATCGGCCCCGAGTCGCTCCGGCGCCGAGGGGGCTGGGGCAGGACGTCACGGGCACGGCAGAAGGACGAGCACGGCGCGACCACGTGGGGCCCAACCACCAGCCCGCCTCTCGCCCAGCTCAGGAGAAGGAGGCAATTGCGGTACACCCGAAGTCGCACCACTCGCTCTGCCAATGTCCGACAGCAGCGCGGTGACATCTACCGTCGAGAGCGCTTCCGGGAAGTGCCCGATTCCAGAGAAACCTCGTCGAAGACGCGCTGCCGGAGCCGAAGGGCACATGAAAACGCCAGCCAGAGGGTCTCAACCTCGGCCAAATACTCGACGCAGACTTTGCCGTGCGCCTGAAGCTTCGGGCCCAACTTGTACATCAACCGCGCGAGTCGGCTGCCCCTCTCGTAGCGTCGGGCCGAGGACCACGAACGCCGTCGCCCGCGACGTCGTGCGGCGCCCAGGCGGCGGCACCCCGACGCGTAGTCATGCGAGGCGCCTCCGCGTTGTAGTATGCACGTGTGGTGTAGGCTATGCCATGACATCTAGAAGGTGCGAGCAACAAATGCTTGAAACCTCTGCCGTGTAAGCTATGTCGTGTAATACGTGCAGTGCCAACTGTGCGGTGGAAGCTATGTGTTGTAAGCGATGTCGTGTAAGCTATGCGGTGTAAGCCCACGGCACTGGGCGCCCACGAGCGCCCACGAGGCGGCACGGACGGCAACGTGGCGCAACCCCAGCGGAACCACCTAGCGCACGGGGCGCCCACGAGCGCCCACGAGTCGACACGTGCGGCAACGCGGCGCAAACTCGACGGACCCACCCGAGGCACGGGGCGCCAACGAGCGCCCACGAGGCGGCAGCATGGAAAATGACAGGCGGACCCGTTCAATGACTCACGTAGCGGACATGAGCATCCCTAAGTGCAAGCATTGGTTGTTGAATCGTCAGAACATACGGGAGATCATACGGGAAAACATATGGGATACAATACTGGAGGGCATACGGAAGAGAATGTGGGAGACCATACGGGAGAACAGAGAGACCATACGGGAATCCAGACAAAGTATCGTACGGCAGACAATGCAAACGACCGTAAGAGAGACAATACGGGAGATCAGACCCGAGACCACTTGGGACACCTTCCTGGAAGAAATACGGGAGACCACACGGAAGAACATCCGGGCAACCATACGTGAGACCATAGGGAGTGCCGGTGAGCTTGGAAGATCAACAATATTAAACCCTCAGGGGCCAGAACTCAATAACACCGACGACAGTACCATGCATCACAAGATCAACAATCACGACCCCAACCACGACCGCCGAAAAAGAAACGCTGAACAACAGACACGAGCAAGACAGAGACGCCGGGGAGCATGGAGATGCAAAGGTTGTTTTTCCTCGCCGACACAAAAGGCAGGCCAGGCTACATTAGCCGCGTCAGCAGCGTAGCTCTGGGCAGCCTCCGAGCGCAAGCCCATCGCATCTCTACAGAAAATCGCTCAAGCGGCCCGAATGGGCGACGCTATTCGGCACAAGCAACATAATTACTTCGACGACGTCATACGGTGGAGGAGTTGGCTCTCTCCCAAGCGAAGCGGGATGGAAAAAAGAGGACGGGGGAGGAGGAGCAGGAGGCAGGGGGGAATGGGCAAGCGTGACTGTCCGCGGGCACCGCCCTTCTGGGAAACTTTCATGACCCAACGCCCCCACCCTATGACGAATTGAATTAGTTACAGGTGCGAAGCGATCGTGAGGGTCTTGGCGCACTTGGTGAACGTGTCCCGCTCTGCGTGGCCTCCGAACCTGGGCAAGGGCCGACATTAACCGATAGGGGCAGGAGTCAGGCATGGCCCTCCTGGTGTTGTGGGCGCCCTGTCTTGCGACGTCCCGCTCGAGACACATCCATTCCCCAGCTCGGGAAGGCACCGTGGACCTCCTCACTGGAGGTGGTGGTGTCGCTCCTCCCTCGAGGCGGAACCTTAGGGGGGGCGGGGGGGAGCGGCACACTTTTCCCAACCATCCTGTGGTGTTGGGTCCTCGTTTTGAAGAGACACCGCCCCGCGTTCCTTCCTTCCTTCTCCTCCTCCCTCCTCCCATCACAATCATCAGCATCATACCCGTTATCACCATCTCTTTTGGTACACCCTTTACAAGTTTCGTGACCCCACAGTGAGCTCCACCTAAAGCCCCAGTGGCGACGTTCCAATGCGTCCCTGTCACCGATTTGGGCACACCCCTCACACTGTTCGTGGCTCCGCAGGGAGGTCCACCTAAGGCTCCGGCGACGTTCCCCCCAGCCTCCCATTTTGGCACACCCCTGACACGGATCGTGGCCACATAGGGAGCTCCACCCAAGGCCCCAGTGGCGACGTCCCCACTGTGCTGCTTAGATCCGGGTCTTGATATCCGGACGGCGCCCCGAAAAGTAAAGCGCGCAACATTCGAAAAATAAACAAGTGCGAAAAGCGTGAACAGTGCGAAAAATAGTAAAACTGCCTGATGGCGGGTCTGGCAGCTATGCCGTCGCCGTCGCCGACCCGTCGCCGCCTCGTCGCCGCATCGATAATCGACTCCGTCCCCTCCCCGCCGGGATTATCACATCCCCTTTTTTATATGCAACTGGTTTTGGTATGAACTCAAACCATCCCAGGTATGAATTCACATCTTAGGGTCCATCCTAGGTATGAACTCAAACCATCCCAGCCGAGCCGATATCGCCCCCACCCCCCCGCCAACCTCGGCAAAATTCTATGCGCGCGCACTCGTTTCGAACAAATCAATAGCTTTCAAAACTCCCTTGTACAAAAAGCACAAGACGAAGTTCACACACGCGCGACGTCGCGCAGGCATGCCGAAATCCTTCAATAACCTTCGGTTTCGTGAGGATGTCAAAATCGGGTGTCCGAAAAACAAAAAAACATAGGGTTTCGCAACGCGGGTGTTCAACAAAAACTTGTGTGCGCTCTTTTGCACATTTTCCAGAAAGAACCATCGCCTTTTCAGCATTTCAGAAAATGATGTCAAACGTGTTTCGCGCGCGTGTCGAAATCGTCCAAACGCCCTTGCGAGCATGTCGTCGCGAGAACCATTTGCAAAAAAAAATGACGAAATGCACGCGCGCGCGTCGTCGTGCGCGCATGCCGGAATTATTCAAAAACCTGTGGCTTCGTAGCGATGTCAAAACCGAACCCAAGAAAAACACACACACACACACACACCAAACACAAAAAACACATGGCTTCGCAACGTCAGTCATCTACAAATCGTGCGCTCGCGCCCTTGCGAACTCTTAAGAAAACCACAATTTTCAAATTCATGGGATTCTGCCAAGCGGGCCTCTCGCGCAGCATGCTGACATCAAGCGCGCGCCCTTGCGCGCGTGCTGGGGGGGGGGGGGCACGATCCGTGTCAAAAAATACCATGCGGGCCACTTCCGCGCGTCGGCCACGCGCGCATGTCGAACTCTTTCCAAAACCTCCCTCGCCGACGCGAGGACGCCGTCATCGTCGTCGGCGGTGTGATCAGCATCGGCGCCCGTACTGGCCGCACTTTCGTCGTTGTCAACATCGTCACCAGCATCGCTACTATAACCATCTGGTCTACCGTAGACGACGTTGCCACGATACCGAGCCCATTCGCTGTCGCCGGCTCGCAGTGAAGTGCCCTCTGGAATGTGCCTAGCGGTCAGCGCCACCGCGGCCGCGTCGGTCGTGCCAAAGTAGCTGGCCGCTGCGCGCGCGCGCTTGGGTTGGTGCGGCCGCAAAGATGCACCAGCCAACGCCAATATGCATCGCAATCCCCACCGCATGGGTTTTGCGAACCAAAGTGCGGGTGGGTGGGTGGGGGTGTGCGAGAGCATGGGATGTGCCAACTTCTTAAAACCAAATGCGCAACATAGATTGCGCCCTGCATGTTGCACCACATATATTGCACAACGTGGCTTGCACCACACATACTGCACGACATGGGCTGCACAACATAGACCGCGTCACAAATATTGCATTGCCCAAAGCGAACCACAGATAGTATTCGTCCAATGAAGAGAACAAGCTCTACCCTCTGCAAAAAATACGAAGCGGGCGTCGAGTTCATCAAAGACCATCAGTTTTCAAGAACCCCTTGCAACAAATGAAACGAAGTGCGCGCGCACGCCGTCGCGCGCGCATGCCGGAATTGTCCAAACACCTTTTGATGTCGCTGGGGTTTCATAATCGAGTGTTCAAACATACATGAACAAAAAACACATGGCCCCGCAACGCGGGTTTTCAAAACAAGCTTGCGCGCGCTCGTGCGAATTCTTAAGAACAGTACACATGTTCTTCAACATGTCCAGAACATGCTACCAAGCGCGAGCGCGCATGTTGAAATCGTTCGAATGCCCGTGCGCGCGCGCCGTCGCGAACACACTCTGCGCACATGGGACGAAGTGCGCGCGCGCGTCGCCGCGCGCGCATGCCATAATCCGTCCAGAACTGCCGGTTTCGTAGCGAATTCAAAGCCGAGTGCCCAAACAACAAGGAAACACACATGGTTTCGTAACATCAGTTTTCACAACAAACAAAAACTGCGCTCGCGCCCTTGCGAATTCTTGAGAAACTCATGCGTTTGTTTCCCCATTGTCATCTTTCTTTGGGGGGGAAATGAACAAACATTGTTTTATGAAATTCTGCCCAATGGGCCTCTCGCGCCGCATGCCGAAACCATTTGCACGCCATTGCGAACGTGCTGGGGGGGGGGGGCGGGGGGGCACGATCCGTGTCAAATAATACCATGCGGGTCACTCTCGCGCGTCGGCCGCGCGCGCATGTCGAACTATTTCCAGAACTTCCATCACCGACGCGAGGACTCGTCGGCGTGGTCAGCATCGGAGCCCGCACTGGCCGCGCTTCCGTCGTTGTCAACATCGTCACCAGCATCGCTACTATCACCATCGTGTCTACCGTAGTCGACGTTGCCATGATACCGCGCCCGCCCCAGTCGCCGACTCGCACTGAAGTGCTCGCTGGGGTGCGCCCAACGGTCAGCACCACCGCGGCCGCGTCGGTCGTGCCATACTAGCTGGCCGCTGCGCGCGCGTGCTTACGTTGCCGCAGCCGCAGAGATGCACCAGCCAACGCCAAGATTCATCGCAATCCCCACCGCATGGGTTTTGCCAACTAAGTTGCGGGTGGGTGGGTGGGATGTTTGCAAGAGCATGGAATGCGTCGACTCGCTTGTAAGAACCAATTGCGCCGCGTAGATTGCACCAAAGTTTAGTGCACCACGTCGATTGCACCGCATATTTTGTGCACCCGACCGGTTACACCACATAGATCGCATGGCATATGTTGCCACACAAGTTGCACCGCATATGTTGCGCACACCCAGGATTGCACAGTAACTATTGCGCATAGTATGTTGCATGTGGATTGCACAACATCAATTCTAAACCAGCGCGTGCCACTACCCGCAACAATAAGTACTCGCACATTGCCTGGATCCGCCGCGGGGTATTTACGATCCACTACGTCGAGGCAATCATGGGTTTTGCGGATGTCTGGCGAGTAGTAGAACGCGCTCGGTGATATTGCACCAAATAGATTGCACCATATATCTTGCACAACGCAGGCTGCTAGAAGCACACCTGCGGTTATTTGTATATATATATATGTGAAGGAGAGAGAGAGAGAGAGAGAACAGTAGAATCACTATAATTTGAATCTCTCGGCTTATGGCCACAGGAGGTCTGGGAAACCTGAACGTCACGCACTCCCCGTTCTTCATGAGGATGGTGCTGCACAGCTCGTCCGGCCTGACGGCGGTCGAGCAGGGGCCTGGGAGCTCACCAGAACGCACGTCACTCACGCTCTTCACCGGGATCTCGTGGACAACTCCTCGCGTTTCCAGCTGCAGAAATCTGAGGTCCTCACGAAGAGGAGGGAGACAAGAGGAGGATGAGAAGAAATGGGAGGGAGAGAAGGATGAGGAGGCGGAGGAATAACAGATGATCATTTCTTTTGGCTGACATCGGCGGCAGTTGCCTACGATACAACATGGGGTTGGCGAAACCACCCTAAAAGGCGCCCTTGCGTCTGAATAGCCCGCCACGCCGTAGAAAACCGGACGAACAGGAGATAGTCTCAACCCAGCTCGGGAGGCAGAAGAAGGGATGAGGGGGAAGAGCGAGGAGGAGGAGGAGGAGGAGGAGAAGGGGGAGGAGGAGACAGGAGGAGGACCAGGAGGAGGAGGAGGCACGCGGAGGAAGGGGGGAGAATAATTGAGGAGGACGCGCCCGCTGGAGGCGGAATCGCTGTCTACCGGGAAAAGAAACTAAGAACAGCCCCCACCTGAATTGCCTCTTCGTTTACATCAGTGCAAATCTTATTGAGGGGACGAAGCGAGCAGGGACTCCCGGTCGTGTCTGTGCAACTTATGACTGCGAGAAGGCCGGCCTGCCAATTTCCAGCTGATCTTGGCGTCCCGCGCGCCGACCGTGTCAAAGCGTAGGCAAACACAGGGAGGAGGAAGCGAACGGAAAGGGGGCGGCGGCCCGCCATCGTCCTCGCAAAGACGTCCCAAACCGAAGGCGCTTCCAGGAACACGGGACCTCCATCGAGATGACGTGGGAAAGGGGGAGGAGAGAGGAGAAGCTCCCAAATCTCCGACGACGTTCTGAATTTTGTGACATGGCCCCCCCGACCTCTCCACCATTTCCCTGGGACCAATTCATGGTTTGCTCGACGACCCCACGGGCTCCGCCGGAACTTGCGAACATCCTCTGGCGCGACTTCACCGATCGCCGGATGTGAAAGCCTCTCTGAACACTCTCCTTCCGACATCGGCTCCTGGGACCTGTCCACTGGGACCTGTCCACGGGTGCGCACTGACAAGAAATTCGAAGCGGATCGAGTCGTGGCGACGAGGACGCCTGCAGAGGACCAAACAAATAGGAAACGCGCCCAAAGACGCCCAGATCCCCGACGGCGTGGTCTTTGTGCAAGGTGGACCCCCACTGAAGCCTGGACCACTTCCCCAGGGCCGACTTCCCATTCCGCATCCACTATTGATGGCCCAGCAGCCCGAAAGCTGACCCCAACGGCTGACGCTGGCCAACGATGTCCTGCCATCACTGCTGGAGACGGCGCGAAGGGGTCTGGGCACCACTCGTTCGGAATACGTGAGTAGAAGCATGCAGCACAAAGACGTTGAAAGTAGATCATGTTTCCGCCCGCCTCCATGAAAGGAAGAGAAAGGTGAAACCATTCGGTTCCTGAAAAAGGAAGCCGCCTGAAAGTAGACTGGAACAATGGGATCGAAGTTTACATACTTTTAGCGAGCGATGGGTACCAATCCTCGATTGAGGGAGGGAAGTGAGGAGGACTGGCTCAGGGGGGCGACATCGACCTTGAATCGGCGATGCAACGCAAAGAAATCGGCGACTGGCCACAGATAGCGAAAACCCAAGTTCCGCGGCGGGGTGGGCTATCAGCCCCCTATCGGCGATGAGTGGACGATAGGGAGCCGATGCGTCTTCCCTGAGCCCTCCCCCCCTAACGTCACCCTGATAGTTTCAACGAGCGATGGGAACTCATCCTGAATGCTCGAAGCTGAAGAGGACTTGGACGCCCGAAATGGGTGTGAAAAAAATGCGCACGATGCCCAACAACAAATGTTGTTCAAAACCGGCAGCGGCCGCTGTTGGGCAGGCGGTCTCCTGTCTCGGATGGACAACGTCCGCGGCGACACCCACGGCGACCCCTGTTCAACATGAGCAGGAACAGCTGTCGGTCTTGATGCCCACTCTTTCCGTACCAATTTCGATCATTCTGGATGGGGAGGTCTCCCAGGGAAGAGCGACCTTTGGTGCGCTGTTTCGGAGCGGGTGCGAGAGGGGGCCCAAACCAAGCGCGCCAGCCGCTGGTATCGCATCTCGCTCAGCCATCGGGGAGAATCCGTGGGCCCGCACCGAAGGTCACTCCGGCGAAGGGTCACTCTCACGTGTAGTCGACGGAGGTCCTCCGCCAGCTGGAGGTACCCGCTCTCAGTGCCCTCGCCCGGCATGAGAAGAGGGGGCCCGGGGGAGGATGGGAGGCCTGGAGAGGAGGAGAGGTCCTCCGTCAGCCTGAGCTCGCACAGAACAGACGGTAGGAAATCACGGGCAACGCTTTCCTACAACTGCGCTGGCCACGAACCGCCCCCACCTAGAGTATCGAAATCCACACCGCCGTAACCTTCATCGCCGTTAGCGCTTCTACGGCAAATTCGATCGTCCCGAGCCCAGATATGCGACGTCCTGAACTTTTCAATACGGGGTCGCTGGAAGTCCCGACCCTTTCCCCGGGACCAGTTTTTCATCCCCAGTTGTTTTGACGGTCCCGAGGCCCGGCGAGGGCCCCCCGAGGTCGAAATTGGCCAAAAACCTTCCGTCCTGTTTTTTTTCCGCCGCAACGCATCGCCAACAAGCAAAGTCGCCCGGGGGCACGCCGATCAGAGGACCAACACCTGGTGATCTTGCTCAATCGACTCGATCTGTAGGCTGCGCCAGATGTTCATCCGGCTAACCTAAGACTTCCGTCCTGATTCGTGTTACGACACGATCATGTCTGAGGAGAGGAGGGGAGGTCCTCCGTCAGCCTGAGGCACCCGCTCTCCGTGCCCTCGCCCGGCACGACGACGTCCACGGCCCTCCCGAAGACAGCCTCCCGGCCTCCCCGGCGGCCCCTCGCCGCTCCCGCCGCCCCCTCCCCGCCACCCTCGTCACCCTCGCCATCCTCCACCTCCTCCTCCTCCTCCTCCTCCTCCTCCTCCTCCTTCCTTCCTCCGGCCGCTCCCCGCTCCAGCCGATCTTCGACGACCTGTGCTCCCGTATCCGGGCGTTTTATGTCGACTTCGGTCCCTGTCGGGCGCGGCCTGGCTGACCACTGCCGGGACCAGCACCTTCCGTGACGTCATCCTCGCCTTCTCTTCCTCCCTGCCGCAGACGTACGTCTTGGGGTGAATCGAGGGGGACGTCACCGAAGAGGATGGCTTGCGAGGGGTCGACTCGACCGCCCCTGAACCTAGGGCCCGTCATCATCAGGACCCAGGACCATCAAAACTGATCTGGGACGAAAAAACACCCCCTGGGAAGGGGTCCGGACCTTTGGGGCCGCACAGGTTGAACGTCACAGCTTGGGACGCCTTGCCTTGACCTCCTGGCAGTTAACGCGGTGCACTCCTCTTGCACCCTGCTTCAAGCGGTGGACCAAGCCCGAGAGTGGTTGACTTGTTATGCAGTTCGCGTTAGGCCCCCTCCGCGCATCTCGATACTACATGCCTTTCAACCTCCACTTCTCGCAACCCCCGCAGTAGCAACCGCACGGCAGTCTCCCACACAATACAGCGCCCTCCCTCGCCACTCGCTGATTGGAATTTTGCTCCACAAGTGCGATGCGGGGATTAATCCGCAACCACCGCGCGGCCGCGCGCGGGAACGATCTTCGGGGACATCGGCAGCCGGCGGATACGGAAATATCAGCCCTCCTCCCCTCGACAGGGCCCGAATATATGCATATCCACTGCCTGCCTAGGTCCCCTAAGAACAATCCGCCAGGCGATGACTACGGTCGAAAAATGTTGATTAGCGGTTCGCGGCGGCGGCTCCGGCGACACCCGATAACGTGTCGCCTCGCTCTGTGGGGCGGGAGGCTGGAAAAGGCTTGGGACGTTGACGTTGCGGGGGCTTGGACGTGGAAGTGTGTCGCGCCAAAGCGTGGGGGGCCAGAGCTGGCGGCGCAACTCGCTCAGCCGATGTTCCTGACCGTATCCAGAAGTCCACCGCCTGCGGAGGTGCCCGAAGATCGAACCCCCAAGCGGTGTAGGACCATGCGTCCCCCCTGAGCCCACCCCCGTCCCCTGTGGCCTTCGGGCCACGACTCGGGCCTTCAGCGGCCGTTCGGGATGCTTCGGGCACGCCCGGAAGGCTCTCGGCCAGGCGCAGCCGCTGGAGAGCACCCCGAGGCTGGACAGCCGACGAGGGCCGTCGAACACGTCCGGCCGGCTCGGCCGCCGACGCCCTCTCGGAGCCTGCGCTGCGAGGGCACGGGGGCCGTGCGAGCACGGGCAGCGGCGCGCCCCCCCCCCTGCAGATCGCCGCGGCGGACCCGCTCTCCTCCGCCTGCCTTCTCTCTTCCTCTCCTCCCTTCTATTCATCCTCTCCCTCCTCCTCCTCCTCCTCCTCCTCCTTCTTCTCCTTCTCCTCCTCGATCCTCCTCCTCCTCCTCCTCCTCCTCCTCCTCCTCCTACTCCTCCTTCTCCTCCGCCTCGATCCTCCTCCTCCTCCTCCTCCTCCTCCTCCTCCTCCTCCTCCTCCGCCGCCGCCGCCGCCGCCGCCGCCGCCGCCCGCCCTCCTCCTCCCTCCGAGGGGGCGACGGTGGCGCCTAAGGGGGGCTCCTGGCTCCCTATGAGGAGCTCCCCTTCCCCAGGGGGAACCAACGGGGGAGGAGTGTGCAGCGGCCCCTTCCTGAGGATGGGGGCCCGCGACGGCCGCGCGCGGGAGCGCGCGGCAATCTGATCAGACAGCAGAGGCGTCCGCCTCCAGGCTGTGCCCAGCCGATTCCCGAGGGGCTATTACAGGATGCAGTCTCCTTCCTCGTCTGCGATCTACTGTTTCGAGTGCGAGGCTGGGAAAGGTCCGGACGGCACAGGCGGAATTCCCCCCTACCGGTCGCCCCATTGATCGCTGCTTGCCGCAGCCGTTGCGGAGGGACCCACCCGGCTTAGTTTCGCAGAAAAGGCCCTTCACCTGGGCGCTCGGCACGGTGCCTTCCCCAGGCAAGCCCAACCAGCCAACCAACGAACCTCCACACCCTCCTCCTGCTCCGCATCTCCCCTCCTCCCTCCGCCTACTCCGCCGAGGAGGGGTGAGGGAGGGCAGGGTCACCCATGCCTCGAACACGCCGCGCCGACTGTTCTTCTCGATGCTCAGCCGCTGGGGTCTGTTTCGATGTGCCCTGGGGGGCCGTTTCTCGGCCGCTGGTGTCCAGGAGCGATTGCGCAACGATGGGGAGCCTGCCCCCGGGGGTCGAGAGGTCCAAAGAGCCCACGCTGCGAAGACGAGCAAATCGCCAGAGTACCGGGGAGGAGTGAGGTGGAAGATATACGCCTTCTCTGGGGCCTGCTGGAGGGACCCTGGACGGTATGGGAGGATCGGCCTCGAAGCCCAGGCTGGCCAGAGGGCGATGCAGGGGGGCGTGGGTGGTCTGTGCGAGAGAGACGGGGAGGACAAGCAGGGGAAGCAGGAAGGAGGCAAGAAAGGGCAAGCAAGGGGAGGGGGACAGAGCCAGAGCAGGAGGAACAGGAAGGGCAAGCAGGGGGAACGGGAGAAGGGGCAAGCAGCCTGCTTGCTCCTCCTCGTCCCCCTTCCCCTGAGGGGAATGGGACTAGAGGCAGCAGAATGAGCAGGACAAGGATATTGAAAGAAACGTCGACTCCAGAAGCACACGCGCACATACACATGACTTCCTCCAACGGCCGAATGGCGTCTCTGCAGCGAGAGCGAATGCGTCAAATAAACACCTGTTTTTCTCAGGCGGCGATGTGACGACCCCGTAGCGATGCGCTAAGCCGGGCCGCGATTAGGAGAGTTTCCAGCTGGCGCGGCAGACTGGATGGGGGTAATCGCGTGCAGAACAACTCACACATACAACTACATGCTTCCTTTTCTGGCAAGGTGCATCACGATCGCGTGTTGCCGCCATAACGGGACGCGTCGGCAGAAGCTGCATTGGCAATGTTCGCTCGAACACATCCTGGCGCGCAGCCAGACGCGTGCTCACACCAACACGAAGCATTCGGGCGGCGATGGCGCGGAATGCGTAGAAGTAATGTGGGGGGACCAACCTTAAACCAACCTTTTGCGTCATACGTGCCCGCAATCTGGGCGCGGACAAGCCAGTGTCACACCCCCGCGCGATGCCCCCTGGGGGCGCTAACAATGCGGTGCCTGCTGCATCTCGCGGTGGCCATGGGGCCCTGAAGCCAAAGGCGCCCATGGGGGGCAGAAACAGCCTCCTCCTCCTCCTCCGACTCCGACTCCTCGGACTCCACCTCCCCCTCCTCCTCCGGCTCCTTGCGCCGCCAGAGAACACCCACACCCACCACGGGCGGAGTCCTGCCCCCGGCCCATGCGGAGCTGTGGATGCTGATATTCACCGTGCCGCCCTCAGGGGCGGGAGCAGGACATGTCCGTGCCCGCCGCTCTCCGAAGCCCTGAGGCGGCCCCGAAACGGTGGGTGTGGGATACCACCTGGCGGAGGAGGACGGACTGGCGCGTGAAGGACGTCCCCGGGGGCCTCCCGCACGAACTGCCTCTCGGGGCGGGCGAAAGCGGAGTGACACCAAATCGGGTGCGCCGAAGAAGGGGGGCCAGAATAAGGGGACGCATCCTGACCCGTGGGTGGCCAGGGAATGTACGGATGGGGCCCTGGGAATCTGGGAGACACCACTCGGCAGTTCAAAGATGGGGCCTCAACGATAGGGCCTCGGGCGATGCGAATCTAACCTGGGACCCCTTTTCCTGGGACCCCTTTCCATCCTAAGGGCCCCATCTTAGAGCCTCCGATACGTGGCCCGGGTCATGATAACCGACCGCCCCTGACATTAATCCCCATGGGATCTTAAAATTCGGGGTCCAGGGGGGATAATAAACGTTTTCCCCGACATCTCAGCATACTGATGAAGATGATGACGATGCTGATGCTGATGCTGATGCTGATGCTGATGCTGATGATGATGATGATGATGATGATGATGATGATGATGATGATGATGATGATACAGATGATCCTGGACGCTCCATCGGGATCCTTAGGAAATCCTTAGAATTCCTTCGGGAATCAATCGGATTCCTTAGGACATCCATAAGATTCCTTAGAACATCCATAGGAATCCTTGGGACATTCATCGAATTTCTTCGGGAATCCAGAGGGATCCTTAGGACATCCATGGGAATCGTTGCTACCCAACAGAAGAAGATAGCAACTTCGATTCGCAACTTCCCCCCGCGACAATTAAGTTCGGCCTTGCAGCCCCTTCTCCCCGACCAGATCTGCATCGGCCAGGGATAGTAACATCGCAATGGTAAAGGGGGGGGGGTACTTTCTGATCAGGGGCGCTCGGCTACCCCCTCCCCCCTCCCTGGTCTTGAGAGCCTTCCCCCCCCTCTCGGGCGCCCCCGAAGCAGAGCGGGGGGGAGGTGGTCAGCGAGTCAGCCGCCAGCACGCCCATTTTCTCGGGCGCCTCCCGGGCACGCCCGGGGGCGGCCAGTGTGGTTCGAGGGGTGCGCCTGGGCGGGGCCGAGACGGGCTGCGCGCGGCAGGACGCCTCGCGTCGTGAACCTCATGAGAAACAGGCGAGTTGCTTCCCGATGTTCGGCGCCCCGGGGACCCTCTCCGAGCCTCGGGACCGTCAACAAACGACTCAGGACGAAGCCTTCGCCGTGGATCGTGTTGCACTCGTCCACGGCCTGCAGGGAAACGCAGGGCACGGCCAGACGAGCGCGCGTGCTGATCCACCTCGGCAGCGTATCCCAGTAGATGCCCATACCGCAGCGCAGCCGAATAGGCCCACCAGGAGGGAGGCCCATAGGGAGGCGGGCTCCCACTCGAGACTTCCTCACTCACCGTTCTCTCAGAAACGAGGCTCCTGCTGGAGACTCTCTCCACATCCACGCCTCAGTGACGATGGTCACAGGGTTTGGACTACCCGCTCGGATTACTGAACTGTTCCGGCGGCCCCATGTGGAGAGGGCTCCCGCCTGAGACTTCCTCACAATTCACTCACAGACGAGGCACCCGTTCGAGACTTCCTCCAGATCCACGCCTCCGGAGCCCAAACGTGACGACAATGCCGGGTTTGGACTACCTCTCGGACTTCTAACACGATCTGGCGGTCCCATTTGGAGGAGGCTCCCGCCTGAGACTTCCTCGCAATTCGCTCGCAGACGAGCTCGAGACTTTCTCCACATCCACGCCTCCGGAGCCCAAGCGTGACGACAGATACAGGGTTTGAACGGCCCGCTCGGGTTACTAACATGACCTGGCGGCACCATAGGAAGGGGGCTCCCTCCAAAGACTTTCTCACAATTCAAGCACTGGCGAGGCGCCCGCTCTAGACTTCGTCAAGATGAATGTGCTAGTGTGTGAGCACGAGTGAGTGTTACTGAGTGCGCGGGTAACTATGTGTGTGATGATGATGTTGCTGATTAGGATGATGACGATGATGCTGATTCTGATGATGATGCTGCTGATGATGATGACGATGGTGGTGGTGCTTGTGATGGTGATGGTGATGGTGGTGATGCTGATGACGATGATGATGCTGCTGATAAAGATGGTGATAATAACAAGTATGAAGGTGATGCTGACGATGGTGGTGGTGGAGGAGGTGGTGGTGGTGGAGGTGGTGGTGGAGATGGTGTGAGAGCGTGAGAGTGACTGTGTGACTGTGTGCGATGGTGATGTAAGCAAAAAAGAAGAGGTGTGAGGAGAGGGCCGCGTGGGGTACCCAGAGAAGACAAGGGCCCAACTCAGGATGTGGGGGGACACTCTCCCGCCGTCTTCTCGTTTTTTTTCGCACGACGCGCGGAGATCTTGCGCCTGTGCCCCCGAACCACTCCCCCTTACTTTAGGTCGGGCGTGTCCCCCTACAGGCGGACTTAAAATAAAAGATACAACATATTCTAAACATACTCCAAAATAGTAGAACAATACTCAAAAATCGTCCCCATACTATTTTTCTACTATTTTTGGATATTCCTCCTGTAGAGGGACACGCCCGACTTAAACCTTGCTCGAACCGTCCCCCCTTTTTGTCTGACCCGAGCCTCATCAGCTCCCGCAGGCCCGACACGTCGCACTCGTCGAGTCCTCCCCGCACCTCGTCGGGAAACTCCCCACCGGCTCCTCGACAGCAGGCCGCCGCACACGCCGCGTCCGGGCAGGCGTCCGCCTGAGGGCTGGGGGAGGAGGAGCCCCAGACCCCCTCGCGCCATGAAAAAAAAACAGGGCTGGACCTAAATATCGTGTTTCGTTTTGTGTTCGTGCTGTTTCTCGTTTATTCTACCTGTTTTCCTCTACCTCCCTGCCCAAACAAAGAACAAAACACAGCCGAAATCCAGCAGAACAGCGTTTAGGTCCAGTCCTGACCAACAAAAAAACACGACGCAAAGTCTGGATGGGGTATTCATCAAGGGGGGAGGTCACCTTCCGACTGAGCTTGTCAAATCCCGCCCCCCTCCGTCCTCCTCCCCATCCTCATCCTCCCCCTCTTCCTTCAACCCCCCCTCCACCCGCTCCGACCGCACATGCCCAACCCCCCCAGCGGATTGAAGGGGGGCGATTTATGTGCCATTCAGAGAAATCGTTTGCTATTTTCAACCTCCTGGGGCCCCCGTCGAGCCCTGGAGCGCCAAGAAGCGACTCCAAAGCCCGCCCCTGGGGAAGGTCCAGACCTCCAGGGGTCCACGCTGCGAAACAAGCACGTCGTCGGAGTTTTAGGTCTGGGTGTCGCCAACATAACCTCGAGGGCGTCGGAACAAGGAACATCGACATCACCACCACCAGCGAGAGAAGCCAGGGGGGGTCCTTTGGTGGTGTGGTGCCCCCCTCCCCGCTCGAGACATCCGCTGTCCCCAGCTCGGGAGACATCGTGGACCCTCTCGCTGGAGGTGACCTCCATAGTGGTGGAGTCGCTTCTCATTCCTACGGCTCAGATCTGGGCGTCGCCAACAAGCAAACACTTTCATACGCTTTCGGCCTCTGGAGGCCACTTGCTGGGAGAGGGACCACGCAAAAAGTGCTCAGGACGAAACAAAAGCGGCCCCAGGAAAGGGGTCGAGATCCCCCATGGCCCACGTCACTAAAGCATTGCGACGTCGGCAGGAAGGGATAGAGGGCGCAAGAGCCATTTTTAGACCCGCCTGATAGGAATAGAGCGGGACAAGGCCCACCTACCGCCCAGATGTGAATGGCAACGTGCTTTCGAACAGGCTCTGGCGCCCTACATTGCCCCGCGTGCTCCTGCAGGACGGTCGATCACTGTCCTCCCAACCCATCCAGTCGATGACGGCGCGGGCGCGGCAAGAGACAGTCTGGCGTGGAGGGGGACCAGGTTCTGCCAGCGGTGACCCTGGCCCTAAGTGCCCAAAATTGGTCGTGCCGCTTTGGAACCACACCATGGCACCCTCTGCCCTCTGGACCTCGCGAGGGGGGCCCCGTAGAGGCCGTAGAGGCCGCGGGGGCGCCTCCCGGGACAAGACCGGGGCCGGCGTGGACCCCGGGGGGCACCTCAGGCAACACCCGAGACGAGGGCCCCGCAGCCTCGCAGCATGTCCAGACACCCCCGCCCTGGCCTCGGCACCTGCTCGGGGTGGAGGGCCCCCCGCGGAGAGGCCCCCACTGCGAAAGTGACAACGCTCCAGCCGTGGCTTGGTATTCTAAGGGCCCCCCTCCCCGTTACCTTCCAGGAGGGCAGAAACAAGAGCACCAGGACGTCGACGTCAAAGTTCCTGTCGAGGTTTGAGGCAGGCCAAAGGTCTACAGGTCTGCATTTTTATTTGTTCTGCATGCTGGAAAATCAGGATCCCCCCCACACCCCGGGCTACAGGAACCCCTCTCGGACAACGGGCCACCCCGAGCGTTGCTTGCGCTGCGTGTTGTGCGCGTGACGCTGCGTCCGGTGGGCGTCGTGTCAGGCTGGCGTGAGTCGTGTTACGCGCCGAGGCCCCCATCCTCTCCTGGCTACCAGGACCCCGTCGAGGATGGGGCCTCGAGGCATCGAAGACCTTGCGCGGCCTCTCGCCGCGGGCGCCCAAGCGGAGCCGACACCTGGACGCCCTTGGTACTGGAGCGCGCTCGGGGCAGGGGATGCCCAGGGTCGGGCGTGGACTCCTGCTCAGCCAAGGTAATAACAAACTGCGCTGCAATTTTTTCAGCGAGCTTCCCAAATCCAGCTCAGCCACCGCGCAAGTCCACCCAGGGCCACGAGCGGGTCCCCAACCCCGCTCGGCGAAAATATGGTCTTCCAAGGCCCGGCAGGATCCAGAGCTCTGGCTGCCCAAACCTGGCTCGGCCAACATATGACTTTCCAGGGTCCTGCGTGATCTGGAACCCTTGCTGATCCATACGGATAGCACCACACATATGGCACGACGTGGATTGCGCCACGCAGATTGCACCACATATTTTGCACTACGTACATGATTTGTGCAGACCACGGCCCCATAATGTATTCGTTCCCCCTTGGCATGTGCAGTTTCCATACGAACTTGTTCCACCGTTCACCTTTTTTAACATGGACTCGCATCATCCGGGACAGGAGGGTATCGACGACGCCTGCCACCCCTGTCCAATAGTATCGTGCGTGCGCATTCGTTTATCACGGACCATCAAATTGTAACGACCCCTTGCAACAAAACTGGACGAACAGCACACGGGCGCGTCGTCTCGCGCGCATGCCGAAATCAATAAAACATGTTGGTGACCATGGGTGTTCACAATGTTGATCAAAACTGACCAAACGGGCCTCTCGCACGCGCATGTCGAAAGCATTCGAAGACCGTTTTATGCGCGTGCTGGGGTGGGGGGCGCGATCCCTGTCAAATCATCACATGCGGGCCACTTGCGCGCGTCGGCCGCGCGCGCATGTCGAACTCGCTCTGGAACCTTAACCACCGACGCGTGGACACCATCATCGTCATCGGCGTGATCAACAATGGCGCCGTCACTGGCATTGCCGTCGTCATCGTCATTCTCGTCACCCGTATCGCTACTGTCATCATCGTGTCTGCCGTCGTCAACGTCGCCATGATACCGTGGCCGCCCGAGCCACCGACTCGCAGTGAAGTGCTCTCGCGCGTCAGCGTGGCCTGGGAGACACGCTGGGAAAAACCCAGCGGTCAGCGCCACAGCGGCCGCGTCGGCTGCGCCAAACTAGCTGGCCGGACTGCGCGCGAGCGTGCGCGCGCTCTCGCGGCCGCAGCGATGCGCCAGCCAACGCCAAGCAGTCATCGCAATCGCCGCCAAATGGGCTTTCCAAACCAAGGCGCGGATGGGTGAATGGGACGATTGCGCGAAAATTGGAGTCGACAACTTCAAGCTCGGCAGGGTGAGTTGTCTTTCCCCCCCGCAAAAGACAGGACCCCCCCCCCTCCAGAATGAACAACTCCCCTTCTCGTATTGCAATTTGCGTATGCTTCTGCCCCATCGCCCATCCAAAATATAACCTCGTACCATCCCATGCAGGCTGGCATCGCCCCCCCCAACCATGTGCATATATATATACATATATATATATATATACATATATATATGTATATATATATATATATATAATATATATATATATATACGCGCGCGCACTAGTATCGAATAATTAAAGCAATCCATGTGAACAAATGGAACAACATGCGCACGCGCGCGTCGTCGCGCGCGCATGCGAAAATTACCCCCCCAAAAAACTTAAAGTTTTCGGAAATATTGCAAAATCGAGTGCCCCGGCACCAGATAAACACACACACGCACGCACACGCACAAACGTAGTTTCACAGCACGACCGTTCAACAAATACATGCGCCCGCGCCCTTTTGCGAATTCTTCTGAAAACCATCGGTTTTGTTGTCAGGCATGCTCATAACACGCTACCAAACGGGCCTCTCGCGCGCGTGTCGACATTGTTCGAACGCCCCTGCGCGCGTACTGTCGCACACATCTCTTGCAACAAACTTGACAGAGCGCTCGCGCGCTAGTCGTGGCGCGCGCTGTCTGAAATCGTTTAGCAAACTCAGGTCGCGTCAGGATGTCAAAACCGAGTACCCCGCAAACATATACACACAGTCGCTTTGCAGCGCTCCTTCCCCAAACAACTACGCTCCCGCATTTGGATTTGGTTTGGAAATCCTTACATGGTCCAGCACTTGTCATTACATTCTGCCAAACGGGCCTCTCGCGCCGCATGCCGAAATCATTCGACGGCCCTTGCGCACAGGCCGGGGTGGGGGCGGGGCGGGGGGCACGGTGCATGTCTAATAAGACCACGAGTGCAACTCTCGCGCGTCGGCCGCGCGCGCGTCGACCCCCTTTCCAAAACCTTCGTCACCGACGCGAGGAGACGCAGTCATCGTCGTGGGCGTGATCGCTAACATCTTCGCCAGCATCGCTACTAGCATGCTCATGTCTACCGTTCTCGGCGTCGCCATGAAACCGCGGCCGCCCAACTGACCAACTCGCACTGACGTTCCCGCTGGGAAATGCCCAACGGCCACCGCCACCGCCACCGCGGCCGCGTCGCCCGCGCCAGACTAACTGGCCGCTGCGCGCGCGAGCGTGCGCGGGCCAGCGCGGCCGCAGAAATGCACCAGCCAACACCCAGCACTCATCGCTATCGCCGCCGCGTGGGCTTATGCAAGCCAAGTTGCGGGTGGGTGGCTGGGTGGGTGGGGCGATTGTGCGAGCAGTGGAATTGACAACTCAGTGCGGGCAGAAATCAATTGCCCCGGTAGATTGCACCACGCACCTGCTCCTGTCTGCAAGCGAGTAAGGTTGCACTGCCCTCCGGAGGCTGGACGTATTCGATCCCCTGGATATGCGCAGTTTACGAGCTGTCCTGCCCCACCGTTCATTCTAAATCTGAACTCGTACTACCCGGGCTAGGCTGGTATCGACCACCCCTTCATCCATGACTCATCCATGGCAAGTGCTACTACGCGCGCGCACTCGTTTAACACGCATCACCCATTTGCAAAAATCACTTGCCCAACAAAGAGGCGAACTGCACGCGCGCGCGTCGTCGTCGCACGAGCATGCCCGAATCGCCTAACCAATTATCCTGGCGATGGACCCAACCATATGCAGTTACGAGTACCGCAAAGCAGGTTGAACGAATGAGAGGGAACTCCCTAAGGGGCCACGAAACGTGTGAAAGGTGTGCCGAAATGGGCGCGGTGCCGCCAT